TCAGCACTTAATTAATCACTTAATTAAGTGGTTTAAGCCAAGGCAATTGGTTTACTCAAAAGTTTTGAGGTAATCGGTTACCACAAAAGTTGAGTTCTCTGAACTTGTCGGGTTTTACAGTGCACTAAGACTGAATTCTTTAAAAACTAAAACATTTTTAAACATTTCACAGATTGATAAAACCAAAGTAGTAGTTTGTCAAGTTGGAGCTCAACTTTGTACAAAGTCAAACAACATACGTCATTTACAGTGTCCAGCAGAGGGCGTATCTTGGAACCAGCAGCTCCTCCTTTAGCACGCATTAGCTGCAAGAGACCTGGTGTGTACCCATCAAGCTTCATCATGAATTTCTCTTCTAAGGAAACTGTTGTTATACGACAGAACTCTTCCTTGATCTAGTGAGCAAGTAAAGGGACAAAAAAAGGAATCTTTAAATGACAGACCAGATCTCAAAGTAACCACATGAATGTTACCTGGTGGGAGGGAAAAATGATCAAACATTCTCACCTGAGCCTTACTGAATAATGCTGGCCACCTTTCTTTAAACACATTCACAGAGGGGCTGAGGGTCACCACTTCGACCCTTCGGCTTGAGAAGGTTTTACTCATTTTATCTGCGATTATCTTTGCATTGTTTTTCTTCTTCACTTCATCAAGTAATTCAAGCCTCTCCTCCTCCAGTGTGTCTTGGCTTTCGCCAATAGGGTGTGGAGGGAGGTAATTAACTTCAGCTTTTTTGGGCTTTTTTACGTTTTTTGATGGGACTGCATCAGCTGGATGCTTCCTCCTCAGTGTGTTGACTTCGATTTCCGGGAAAGCATATTTTCGAGATTTTAGCTTGGCACGGTAATTGTGCATCTTATATTTTATGCGCTGTTGCCAGCCATATAAACCTGCAAACGATCCCGGCTCCCTAAGACATGGAAACTTGGCAACCAGAGCTTCAGCCACTGAGAGAATCTGCTGACTTGATGGATAGGCTGTGTAGGAAAAAATCACTTTTGAAAGGTCATGCATTATTGATGATTTAACATGGGCATCCATGAAGTGTTTTCCAGTGGCATGATATGATTTGTTTGCCTCTGCGAGGATTAGCTCTATGTCTCGGGAAAACTGCGGTACTTGAAATGGCACTGGCCATGCAGCAGGGCGACATGAATCAGGTAAAATAATGGTGTCCTTGGAACTTGACGATGCGCAGTCGGACACATGTGAGGATGCATCATCATCTGCAGGGGAGATGTCCGTTTCAGTATTACCTGCAGGATGGGT